ATACAATATTATTATCATTGTCTTCCAATCGTAATGGGACTAGGAAGACACAAATAGCGAATCATGTTTTCCCTCTGCATTTGTGATGAACTTTTGTTTATAAGTCGAATGACATCCGCTACCATCAAACCCCCACTTACAACGTAATATAGAATTTACATTTACATTTGGATAATTATCGAAACATTTAAAAAAAATTTTTTAAATATTATTTAATAAAACTGGTTCGAAGTGTTTCTGAAGAAAGTTGCAACATGGCATCCGAAACGTCAAACCTTTTCTTAAAAGACGCACGGCAAAACCCGAAAGTTTCTAGTGTTAGTTCTAGTTTTAGTTCTAATTTTAGTTCAATTAACTCCGGCCGTGAAAGCCTTCGTACTTACAAAAAAAGTAGATATTTCAAGTGTTCCAGTTTTTTGCCGCACTGTATCTAACAACCACTTCCGGTTGTTAGATATGCCTGAAACTTTAAGTCTGGTATTCTATTATTGTTATGCAAGTTTACACCAAATATACGAGATTTATCTTTTAAGAAAAAGAATATAAGCATTTTATATGAAAACGGTCAAATAACACACTCAGTCACTGATCATCTTTGATCGTTAATATCTTGGAAAGGAGCAAGTTAAAGCAAGATGTGGTTATCATGTTATATAGAGCACATCTCAAAGAATAAGAATATTCTAGCGACAAAAGTTCTTCTTGCGTCTTCTGCGAGATATATATGTTAAAACATTTGGTTGTAACTTCAAGTAGGTGTTAATTAGCTTTAAAAGAAGTGCTTATTACGTATTTCTGCAAAAATATTTTAAAAATTAGAAAAGTGCCAAATGAAGACCTTTCTATACTGTTCAAGATAGCAACAACGCATTGTCTTGAAAAAGTGGAACACAATATATTTTCTTCATCTAAAGTTGTAGCATTTTATGATATTTAATACACAAGAATTGTAGTACTGTTTTATTGCGTACAGTTGGTACTAGAAAGTACATAAGACTTTATTCCTTTCACCTCTCAGTCTATTAAGACCTAAAGTACATGTAACATGTAAAAAAGAACGAAAAAAAAAATTTCGAAAATTTGATTTTCGTTCACATTTTACCGCTTGTGGACCACTGTGTGTCGTTGCCATATCCATTCAAAGCTAAATAAATATTCATAATATATGACATAAACAAGCCAAGGTCGCTTGCGGCCGAGGAGTTACATCGATACTACATTAACATAGAACTAAATAGTGTATAAAGAAAAAGCCACAGTACTAAACTGCCTAGAAGCAAAGAAATAAGCTGATGACGAGCAACAAAAATATCAGAAATAGAGAAAATAATGATATTTATATTTATATATTTATTTTATGTGATACTTTTTAGTTCTAGTTTTAGTAGACCTAGAACTAGAATCATATCCTACCGCATTCATAGTATATTGCGAGTTATATGAAATTCCCACTATTAAAATAATAACACGATAAATAATTGGTTATGAAGCGATCCTAATCTTAGAAAATGAATATACGGTGTAATAGGTTAAAAATTGAGATGGGCGATATGGGAAACCATAAAACATCGTATTGGAGGGTTAAGATTATTATATTTGGAGAGTTGGTTTATGTTATATTAATTTTTTAATTATATGTTAATAAAATAATTTCGAAATTATTATTTATTACATAATTTTATTTTATAATTAAAAATGAAAAACAAATCCAGACTGCATATTAAGCAGTTATTAAGCACTGGTTATGGTGATACATGTTATAATTATTTCAAATTTACATAATGTATCTGAAGCGAAATAATCCATCGAAATGCCAATATAAGGATCTAAATCACTTGAAATCGAGAGATGAAATTGTAATCGCCTGCTGCAAGATGAATTGTTTGATCAATAACACATGGATTTTTGGATTACGGGCAAACGGCCAGGTTATTGAAAGTATACAAAATTCATCTCAGGAACAAATCTAGGTACCAAAGCAATGTGTTACGAGCATGTCACAAAATTGTATATGGTGAAACACAAGAAATATGTGATACCAATTTCTACCATAAAGTTAGAGAAAATTCAATGTCTTATTCGACTTGATTCTGATACAACAAATGACAATCTATTTGAGTAGCATCTGAAGAGTAATGTTGGCTGAGATATGGGGTTTTAAAGAGCACGTTGATATTTACCAAAAAAAGCTTAAACATCAACACTTTTATCTCAAAAATTAAAAACTGTAGATGAGAATGATATTAATAAAAATTGTTCATAATAAATCACTAAAAGATAATACATAAACAATTTTATTCCAACCATTTAAAATTTTTACTTATAAACCATAAAATCTCAAAATCTCTAAATTGACGTTTTTGGATAATAAATTTTATAATAACTTCGAAATTAGAAATATTAGGAATAAATGTTGTGTATAAAAAATGTTTATAATGAACCATCAAAACATCATCTATAAACGGTTGTATTCCAACTATGTTCATTACCAACGTAGCGGACTTAAAACGCGAAAGATTTCAAATTTGACGCATTAAACAACATCAACACTTTTATCTTAAAAATTAAAAACTGTAGATGAGAATGATATTAATAAAAATTGTTCATAATAAATCACTAAAAGATAATCCATAAACAATTTTATTCCAACCATTTCGAATTTTTACTTATAAACCATAAAATCTCCAATTCTCTAAATTGACGTTTTTGGATAATAATTTTATAATAACTTCGAAATTAGAAATATTAGGAATAAATGTTGTGTATAAAAAATGTTTATAATGAACCATCAAAACATCATCTATAAACGGTTGTATTCCAACTATGTTCATTACCAACATAGCGGACTTAAAACGCGAAAGATTTCAAATTTGACGCATTAAACAACATCAACACTTTTAACTTAAAAATTAAAAACTGTAGATGAGAATGATATTAATAAAAATTGTTCATAATAAATCACTAAAAGATAATCTATAAACAATTTTATTCCAACTATTTCGAATTTTTACTTATAAACCATAAAATCTCACAATCTCTAAATTGGTGTTTTTGAAGATAAACTTTAGTTGTCTCTGTACAAAAAAGGCATTTGTAAAAAACGTATATGGTCTCAGTTGTACTGCCTCGGTTACCATTTTTCTTGATCATCAAAAATAAATCTTGATTGCCTCGATATACCACGATATTTATATAACAATGTATGGTGTACAAACGATAAAAATCTTAAAATGAGTTAAAATAAAGTGCTGTTTCTTAAAAATAGACATGGGCTGAAAAGGATAGAGTTGAAAAGTGATAAAAATAAAGGTCCAAGAAGAACGAAAGACGTTTCAAAAAGGGCATTGTGAGCTCACGTAGACGGGCGGGATTCGTTTTACGGTCCAGTCGGCGATTTGTAATGGAAAGGTGTAACAAAATTCGTTTTGCATAATTTATTCACGGTCCGGTTGCTCCGAAACACTTTTTCACCGGCTTTACCCTGAACTGAACCCGTAACGAGAGTTTTAATCTTTTTCCAAAACTCACAATATTACCAATTAAAAAAACTCATATAAATCAAAATCAACCATTATTATAATTTCTCGATGTCATAAAAAAGAAGAAAAATAAAAAATAATCCACGTCTACCTGAAAAAGTCTTTGGACCCAACAAAACCCCCAAAAACCGAGACGCCACATCTCCGATCTATCCCCAAAACCATTTAATTACAACAAAACACCTCAAGCCAGACGATAATCGAACCTAAAACCTCTTCGAATAAAGAACTAGAAGACCCAAACCGAACCTGTTCCTCTAAGGTGTTACATTAATTATGCTTTTGACACGGTTCGCAAGACTCGAACCACAAGCAGTTCCCCAGGCCCCTTTACCTTCAGATCCTTTTTTTTTTCTTTTTTCGGCTACGGCGGGCGCCGATTGAAACGACCGATTGCGCTTAGCCCCTACGTTTTGGACCCCACGAACTCGCTTTCTCGCATACAAAACGCGATATCAGAGCATCGCGAATGGAAATTGCACCGAGGGCGAAACCAAATTTATAACCCACAGATAAATTTAAGAAAAAAATTTAAAAAAATTTTTAAATGTCAAATTTGAATTCAAATATCTTTCAAGAGCGACATCTCTTACAAAATAAATGAATCAATTTTTTCTACAGAAACCTGTAATCGTTAAATTCATTTTATGATAATACCTCGATTATTTTGTGATAAAAACAAATCAAATTCATTCAGAATTAAACCGAACGCGATAACGAAGGCTTAATCGAAGGAGTAAATACGCGCCAAGTGACGTAAATATTTTTTTTTCGACAAGGTCGATTGACATAACCAAAAAATCGACTTACGTTGATGTCCGGAACTGATTCTTAGCGGCGGATCCTCGCCCACGTATACCCTTAGCGGCGTCACGTCGTGGCCCCTCATCCTAAATCCGAAGACTTCGCACGGAGACACTCGCGAAATCCGCTAATTAATACACAATATTTACTAGAAAAACAGTTCTTAGCCAGTTGCTAATATGGCTGGTGGTCAACATAAACGTCATTGATGGTGGTGCCATCTAACGTTGAGATGATACACTAAAATTATTGTAACAATTTAAAATAATTATTAAAAATTTCAATAAAGAGATTAATTAATTTAGAATTATTAATAAGTAATTTATTAAGTATATAATAAATGTTGTGGTATTCTTTTCGCATTATTTGTTTCATTTTGACATTTATAAAATAAGGTTAGTTTTATGAAAAAAATATCAATGTTTAAATAATTTGCTATAATTTAGATAATATCTTAAAGTTTATTATGAGAAAACAATTAAATTGTTTAAAATTTAAAACCGTACGGAATAAAATTTGGATATAAGGCTTAAATTAAAACATTTTTTTGAAAGGATAGGCAACCAAATATACGCAATGTATGTGATGAAATATATTAATTATAAAAAAGAACCTGATAAATAAATAATTCACTCAATAAATAAATGAAACCCTGTATATTTTCAAATCTCTATTTAGATAAAATTGAAAAAAAAAAATTCTTACTCTCGATGATTAAAATTTAATCGTCAAGTTGACACAACGAAGCAACTCCCCGATTGATCCAATGTTTCTGGGGAACATCGCTATCGAATGTGGTGAACATGACGAAATTCGTGGAGTGTCCCGTTGTAGAAAGAGTCCCCCGTCTTGCGCTTGTCTTGTAAATCGGACAATCGTAGCAAGGTCTTGTTCTAAACTGGGTTTTCTCTACCGGTTTTAACCACATTATCGGTACAGTATCGAATAAGATTTTCGGAAAAGATTCGTTTAATTGTCCCTTTTTTCTGTCCCAACGTGCTCCTTCCAAAAATAAGCCCTAAAATAAAAAAAAGTAAAAATTAACCAAAAAAATGGCGATTAAGTAAACTTAAATATAATAAATTAAGTCTTTTTTGAGTTAACTTACATAGAATATAACCGAAAATTCCTCTTGATTTTTGGTGTACTTAGTAATTTCGTAAATTTATTTAATTAATATAAATTAAGTTAATAAATTATTTTTTTATTTTGTTTTACTTACCTCGATTAATTCTTTAATTTCATCGCGTTGATCAAAATCCTTTATAATTGCAGCGATAAATATAATATTTTTTAATTCAACATAATGATCTAAAGGGACTGCTACATCCTGGAAATAAGTGTATAACTCGACGGACCGTTCGTGACGTCACGCAACTACTATTTCACATTTTCAAGGTATAGAAGGAACGATTTTGCTTCAAATCACCGAGGTCGCAATCTAGATTTGATGTACCAACACGATATAGGCAGCCCCGGGAGATTCTATATTCTACTGCCTCGCCTATGAAAGTCCTGGATTCGCGCTAAATGCTTGGGATTAACCAAGAAATACGTTTGGCATTGCTTCCTGTTGGTATTATGTGGAAATTTTGTCGCATATCTGACTGGAAATTATCAGCTCATTGATTTGAGTTAAATTAAGGCATACTCAGCAATGTTCTACCATCACTAACTGAAATGGTCATCACNCTCGACGGACCGTTCGTGACGTCACGCAACTACTATTTCACATTTTCAAGGTATAGAAGGAACGATTTTGCTTCAAAATTCGCGCTAAATTAACCAAGAAATACGTTTGGCATTGCTTCCTGTTGGTATTATGTGGAAATTTTGTCTCATATCTAACTGGAAATTGACAGCTCATTGATTTGAGTTAAATTAAGGCATACTCAGCAATGTTCTACCATCACTAACTGAAATTTTATCGCAGTTTTGTGCCTAAAATCATACCTAGATATTTGGTTTGATTTGAAATATTTGAAATAAGGTACTCAGCATCAAATCAGTTTGAAAAATGCCCATTGAGACAACAAATCCAACTACTACGTCTTTGACTCTCACAGTACTTATCAGACGAAAGAGGGTTTATGGCACTCTTAAATAACCAGCATAAATCAACTAAGGAATGGTAACCCAAAAGACAGACTTGGAAAGTCAGGGACAAAAGAATTAAGTAAATGTATATATCCTAATGGAAGATGCGGAGAATGATGTGGTGGAAGAATTTTATGAAAAATTTTAATCTGTATGCGATGATTTACTAAAACAGGACACCATAATCACACTAGGAAACTTTAAAACCAACCAATATTGAGAGATATCGTTGGGAAACACAGTTTTCATGAAAAGTACTTCGTTTGATAGAAAAAAATATCCACAAAGGTACCTGGAGAATACCAGGAGATATAAAAGGGAATATGAAGGGTGAGAGTGGACTGGACTGGGCAACAAAAGGTGGAGAGGAACAGTTATGTGGAATAATGTAACAACATTTTTAAAAGAACGAAGAGAGCTGAGGAACTAGAAACAAGAAATCGTGTATCTTCACTAGCAGAGTTCTCCAAATCTGACAACTTCATATTGATGTGGTAAAGATTATTGGTAAAGATAGATTTGGGGCCAAATCGTTCATTAAATATTTTGGTAAAGATACAAGTCTGTCATGAGATGCTATTTTTCCTCAAATACCAAGATCGCTAAATTTTTAAGTATCTTGTAGCTATTCTACATCTTCCTCCAAATCACTACCTTGCATCACAGCCAAGACAATTCGAAGTTTAGTAGCAAAATTTAATGCCAGTGATTTTTTGGCAACATCGAATTCTAAAGTTAAGAGAGCCGATATTCGAAAGTGTCATCAAATTTCTGTTCGGCACCGAGCTCAACAGTTTGGCCACTCTACGATGACGGTTTGGCATTTGAACTCGAAAAAAATGACATGAAGAACTATTGGTTCCAGCAAGATGACGCAACATGCCATACTTCTCAATTAATAATGGATTTGCTACTGGCCGGCGCGTTCGCCTGATTTGATGAATCCTAACTTTTCCTTGTAGGAATACTTTAAGAGGAAGGTTTATGTCAACAAGCTCGAGCAACATAAAACTACAAAAAACGCCCGAACAAACATCACATTCAGAAAGTGTCTAAACAAATTGTACAAGTCCAAATTTCAATAAAATGATCGAATCCAAACAGAATATTTAGTTGTTTTCAAGTTATTCAAAAAAAAAAAACATGTTTACAACAAAATAGTACACCTTGTATCCAAATTCTTCTATCTAGACCTAGATACATTGAAGTTTTTGCATTATAACTTTTTCAAACAATTTTGAGAGTGTCGGTAAAATGTTTATATGACAAATTTCCTTTTATAAAACATTATGTATTAATTAATACATCATTAATACAGTAATTAATACATCAATTCGAAATTTTTTGCTTTGCAGCATTCTAGCTTGAAGAAAAATCGTTCTTTATATATTTTGGCAAAAAACCCAGACATATCCAGATTTGATATACTAATACCATATAGGCAGCCCCGGAGGATTCTGCATTCTACTGCCTCGCCCGCAAGCGACCTCGGCAGTTTGAGGATAAACGTCTATTATGTCTACTTATTTCGTGTTGGTATATCAAATCTGGCGCATAGAATAGTACAATCTGTGAGTCGCAATGTTGATATTACACTTGGTGGCGTGAGTATCCCAATTGTGTCACAGGCCATAAACTTGGGTTTAATTATAGACAATTCTTTCAGATACCGCAATTATATTTCTAAAATAATTGGTATAGCTTATCAAAATTTAAAATTGTTGTACTGTTTTGAAGACATTTTTAGTGTCAAATTGAAAACAAATCTATGTAAGGCTGTGGTACTTTCGTTGTTTAACTACTGTAATCCGGTTTACAAACCATGTCTTGATGCGGTTGATATTGGTAGGGTGTAAAACGCTTGCATGCGATTTATTTTTAATATCACCCCTGGTGTTCAATGCGTCTCGTGCCGGGCGTGGTTTCACGCCAAATGTGTGGACATCGCTAAAGATTCTGCCGTGGCACTGTCAGTCGCCAGAGCGTCGTGGAGATGTTCCGTCTGTAGATCGCCTCCGCCGCCCGCACGACGTACTTCCCGTTCTTTCATCAGCACATCTATTCCCGGGAGCATTGCGGCCGAACATGCTCCGCCTGTCTCTCTTGAAACAATTTTTGATATGGTCAGAGAGATGCGAACGGATATGCGTGAGATGAGCTCTAGATATGACAATTTGGTCGAGTCGGTGGAGTTCTGTAGTCAGCGAGTGTCTGATTTTGAGGTGACTGTGAAGCGCTTCCAGGAGCAGATGAAAATCATTGACAGACTGAACGCTGAAAATATATCCCTGAAAAAACAAGTAACCGATTTGTCCGATCGTGTTTCTGATATGGAACAATATTCTCGCAGGAATAATCTGGAGATCCAGGGGGTGCCTGAGAGGGACAATGAAAACCTGGTAGAAGTGCTGGGGTCCATTGGTAATTTTCTTCAGGTTCCTGTATCCTCGACGGATGTGGACGCGGTTCATCGTGTTCCGCATGGTGCAGGGTTTCGGAATCGGGAGGCAACCCCCAAGACCATTATTGTGAAGTTCTGCAGTCGTCTCAGACGGGATAACTTCCTGGCCGCTGCTGCGTTGAAGAAACGATCAGTTCCTGCTGGTGTACGTCCGGGTCTCAAGATTGAGGGTGTTGCGGAGAGGTGTTTTGTTAATGAGCATCTCACGCCGCAGAACAAGATTCTATTTGGTCGGGCCCGTGGGGTGGCTAGAGAGAAAGGTTATAAGTTTGTCTGGATTCGTAATAGTAAAATTTTTGTTCGAAAGGATCCAGACTCGCGTGCAATTCATGTTAAGAGCGATAAGGAAATAGACCGAATGTAATTTTTGTTTTGTTTTTGTTTCATCTAACTTATAAACACTTTTCTTTTAGGCCACGACAAATTAATCATGTCACCTATTACCGTGTACTACCAGAACACCCGCGGTTTAAGAACCAAGCTTGTTGCTCTGTACAACAGTGTGCTCAATGCGGAATTTGATGTTATTTGTTTAACAGAAACCTGGCTCCACCCAGGTATCTACTCCTCGGAGGTTTTGCCTCAGTCGTACCAAGTTTTTAGATGCGATAGGCCAAACGTGGGTGGTGGCAGGTTGATGGGACGTGGTGTTCTGATCGGTGTTTCTGATGCGTTGGCTGCTGTGCGGCAGCCGGACTGGTTCGGCGGGGTCGATGCGGTTTGTGGTGACTCCAGCTTGCACGTTTGTTGCATATATATTCCACCCCATGATAATGTAGCTCTTGCCTCTTTCATTGAGCAACTTGTCTCAATTATTAAGCAGCGTCCTGACGATAAATTTTTGATTTGCGGTGATTTCAATCTACCAGAAATTACCTGGTCGCTTGATGCCACTTATCGCTCGTGCGTGGCTTCTCGTATCGGTACCGGCAGTGCTCGATCGTCCGATTTCCTGGACACTCTTTCCCTGTGTGGCCTTAATCAATACAATCATTATTGCAACGCGTTCGATAACACGCTTGATTTAATTTTAACAAATTTTCCCCTGATCTCAAACATATCTTTGAGTGATAACCCATTGATTCATGAGGACATAGCGCACACAACCCTCGAATTTTCATGCACAGCAATTAATCAACCTAATTTAAATAATAAATCAAATGTTACATATAACTACAGGAGGTGAAAGCGGTATGGGAACCGGATCGATTATTTGTCTTTCTCATTGTTGAGGGGTCGCGCTAAACATCTTATTAATACCGATTATAATGACTACATTCAACGTACAGAATCAAATATTACAAGTAATCCTAAGCACTTCTGGTCTTTCCTTAGGCGTAGGAGGGGTGCAAGTGGTGTTCCAGCGGTGATGACACTAGGTGATTCTGTTGCTACGGTCGGTGAAGACATTTGCTCTTTATTTTCAGATTGCTTCGGCTCAGTTTTCACTGCTTCGGAGG